GGGCAGCGGTTCTCAACCTATGGGACCCTGCGCGACTCACAGGAACTGTATTAAAGGGCTGCAGCATTAGGAAGTTAAGAACCACTGACTCAGGGTATTCCCAGGGTTTTAGGAGCTCCATGCCATGACCTGGGATAAAGACCAAATTCCTTCTTTGTTTTTGTTGTAGTTGCTTTTGTTTGTTTGTTCTGTATTATACCACAGCCATCTTAATGGTATGAAGTAGTACCTATTGTGGTTTTTCTTCACATTTCCCTAATGATGAGTGATGTGTTCATGTGTTTAAGGACCAACCATATATCTTCTTTGGAGAAATGCCTTTTCTAGTACTTATCCAATTTTTATTTATATGTTTATTTATTTAGAGACAGAATCTCACTCAGTGGCCCCTGGTGTCTCATAGCTCACAGAAACCTCTTGGGCTTGAGCAATCCTCTTGTCTCAACCTCCCAAATAGGAGGCATGCACCACTAGGCCCAGGTAGTTTTTCTGTTTTTAGAAGAGGTGGGATTACACTCTTGCTCAGGCTGGTCTCGAACTCCTGAGTTCAAGCAATCCACACAGCCTCTGCCTCCCAAAATGCTAGGATTACAAGTATGAGCCACCATACCTGGCCCTCTTTGTCCATTTTTTAACTGGGTTGTTTGTATTTTGTTGCTTAGTTGAAGAACCTCCTTTATGTATATTCTGGATATTAATCCTTTATCAAATATATGACTTGCAAATGTTTACTCTCATTCTATGGGCTTTTTTTTTTCTCTCTTAACAACTAATTTTGATGTAAAAAATTTTTTTTTTTTTTTTTTTTTTTGAGACAGAGCCTCAAGCTGTCCCCCTGGGTAGAGTGCCGTGGCATTACAGCTCACAGCAACCTCCAACTCCTGGGCTCAAGCGAGTCTCCTGCCTCTGCCTCCCAAGTAGCTGGGACCACAGGCGCCCGCCACAACGCCCGGCCATTTTTTGGTTGCAGCCGTCATTGTTGTTTGGCGGGTCCGGGCTGGGGATTCGAACCCGCCACCTTAAGTGTATGTGGCTGGCGCCTTAGCCGGTTGAGCTATAGGCGCCGAGCCTACAAAAGTTTTAAATTTTGGTGAAGTACAATTTGTCTATATTTTCTGTGTGTGTGTGTGTGTCTTTGGTATCATATCCAAGAAGTCATCAGCAAATCTAATGACTTGAAAATTCTCCCCTATGTTTTCTTTTAAGAGATTTATAGTTTTAGCTCTTACATTCAGGTATTTGATCTATTTTGAGCTAATTGTATACTATATAAGGTAAGGGTCCAACTGCATTCTTTTGCATTTGTTGAAAAGATTATCCTTTCTCCACTGAATCATCTTGGTACTCTTATTGGAAATTATTTGACCATATAGGCTAGGGTTTACCTTATCCCTTTGGAATAGAATTACATTTTATTTCTTAATATTTTAGATCATTAGTACCCATAAAATGCAAATTACATAAAGCTTTTTATATCTTTGCTGATTTTGCTAGAACTGCTGGTACTCAGAAAACAATAACCCAAAAGTATAGCACCTTGGCATACTAAGCACTTTTGAGTTAAAACATGAAATCCTCAGAAGCTGCCTCAGAATCAAGGACTTTCTGATCTCTCCTGTGTCTATACCCCCACTTTCAGTGCAGGGTGAATTTTTAAAAATGTATTTATTTGTGAAACAAGGTCTCACTCTGTTGACCAGGCTGAGTGCAATGTCATAATCACAGCTCAGTGCAACCTCAAACTCATAGGCTCAAAGAATCCTCCTGCTTTAGCCTCATAAGTAGCTGGGACTACAGTCATGTGCCACCATGCCCATCTAATTCAGGGTGAAATTTTTCGTTGAAATTCCCTTATCTGCCTTAAAACAAAACCTGCCAAAGGGAGCATAATTGCCTTCCATTCTCTCCCTAAAATCTCATTATCTATTGCAGGAGGAAGAATGAAAGTCAAACATCACCTCTAGATCCAAAAAGAACTTTGTCCCAAGCTGCTGACTTCCTCACGGGCTCACCCAACTTCCAAAGAGAATCATTCACTAGCTGTTTTCTTTCTCAGACTTCCAGCTTCCAAAGAATTGTTTACAAGCCACTGTACATCTCTCAGGATCATCCAAAGAACCATTTGTTATTCCCTCAAAATTAGATTACCTACATTCCTTGCTTTTCTTTCCCCAAAACTCAAAATACATGACTGAGGCAAAGATTTCAATGAATGGAAGTTTATTAAGCCAAACTTTGAGGATGCACCCAAGAAAAGCATAAGCCACAGAAATATCTGTGGCCTGTGCTCTCCAGAGAGGGATTTGGGAACTCACATTTAAGGAGAGCAAGCATACAGGAAGAAGGAGGAGGAGAAAGGTGGGCAGTGAGGCAAATGCTTGCATTCTTGTGAGACTTTAGGTAGTGCCCAGGAAATCTACATTTTACCTAAGACAAGGTGAATGTATGAAGAAAAGGGAAGTAAAGAAAGCCATCAGTTATGTAGATGTTCCTGGGTAGGTAGAAGAACAATTAATATTGTCTGTTTTGCAACTGGGAAGATAAGCTTGTAACCAACATTATTGGTGTGGAATCAGACATGCTTTAGTTTTAGGAGCTAGACTTACCCTGCAGATCTAAAGTTAACAATTTGCTGTCCCTGTTTACAGGTGGCCAGCAAGGAATTTCCTTATACACAGTTTGTTGGGGTCATCCTTGTAGATACCGGAGGCCTTTTATTTCTTCATATTATGCATTAGTGGAATCTGGCTAATGCATAATGTTAGTAACAGCTATTCATTTGGAGAGGGGTGTTGCATACTCAGCCTCCAGGCTTGGCCTTACCTTTTGCATAAGGAGTTGGGGGTGGGAGGCCATGTTCTGAGAATTTTATTTTCATTTACATCCCTATGGAGGGGTATATATAAGCGTCTGAACCTCCTCTGGTTACTGCACGATCACCCACCCGTGATTTTCCCCAGTGCCTGTTAATTAATCTGTATACCTTTTTCTCCTATTCATCTTTAGCTAGTTTGAGTGAACTTCAAGAGGGTGGTTCACCCCTACAAAATGAAGGGAAAAACCTTAATTTTAGGGAAAAAATATGTAATTGTTAATTATTTACATGTCTTCAATGTATTATTCAGCTGCTCAAAAACTTTAAAATGTGCAACACAAATTCTATTCAGTAGTTTGATATTTGGTTTTCAGTCAGTTAAAAACCACAGCCTTACAGATGTGCATGCATGTGTGTATAAAATATATTTGTTAACCCCTGGTCTCTCCACCTTACCATTAATGTCAAATTGACACAAGACAAGCGACCTCCCAGCCAGCTGGGTGGAGCTGGGGGAGGAGGGCGGACCGTCGGTGCTGGCGAGGTGGCAGCGAACAGAGGAAGCGGGCGGGAGGGCAGGTAGGGTCTCCTCCCCAACCCTCCCCCCACGCCCCGCCCAGCAGGAGGCTCCAGTAACCAGAGGTGCCAGACAACTGCTCGGAGACACCTGCACCTTAGGTTTCCCTCCCTTTGCACTTCAGCAGTTGAGGGAGGGTCAATTTCATGTAAGTTTCCGAGGCCTGGGAATGAAAGGGATTGTAGCCATTCATTTGCGAGCCAGACATGCTAAACTTAATGACAGAGGGCCCCAAGCGACTATACATGCCTCTGGACAAAAAGCCTGGAGACAGACAGAGACTCTTCCGACTGGGCTTTTCTCTTCCTGTGGAAGCTTTGGTGTTTTTGTATTCTTTTCTGTAAATAAATCCTGTCTTACCACTGATCTGTGGTCTGCGGATTCAGTCTTCGAATCACGGAGACCAAGAACCTACCGAAGACGAAATTCCAGTATCGAAATGATCCAGCACAGTAAGATTATGCCTATCATTAAACTGTAAGAATGTTAAAAATCTATGTGTTGTTTAGACTGAGTCCTGGTGTACTAACAAGCAAGGAAAAACCCACAAAAGAAACATACCAAACACAAACACAATACACGGCTGCAGAGTTCCAGAAGAGATAATCTTAGTATTCTAGAAGTTCCTATTGGTGAAGGGCACTAAACTTTTTTTTTGTTTTTTAGTTAGAGTCTCACTTTTTGGCCCTCAGTAGAGTGCTATGCCATTGTAGCTCACTGTAACCTCAACCTCTTGGGCTTAAGTTTTTCATTTTTAATAGAGAAGGAGGTCTCTTGCTCAGGCTGGTCTCCAACTCCTGAGCTCAAGCGATCCACCTGGCTGGCCCTCCCAGAATGTTAGGATTACAGGAGTGAGCCACCGCGCCAGCCACTAAAATGTGAGTTTAAAACCACAAACGTGGCATATCCATTGTGGCATTAGGTTGCTAAGCAATTATTTTATTCTGATAACCATTGCTTGCCTTAAAAAGATCAGGTCAGGCCGGGAGCGTTGGCTCACACCTGTAATCCCAGCACATTTGGGAAGCTGAGGCAGGTGGATCGCCTGAGCTCACAGATTCGAGACCAGCCTGAGCCAGAATGAGACCCCGTCTCTGAAAATAGCCAGGCATTGTGGTGGGCGCCTATAGTCCCAGCTACTTGGGAAGCTGAGCCAAGAGAATCGGGTAAGCCCAGGAGTTTGAGGTTGCTGTGAGCTATGACGCCACGGTACTCTACCAAGGGTGACAAAGTCGAACTCTGTCAAGAAAAAAAAAAAAAAGACCAAGTCAACAGTGTTTATTTTGATAATTTCGCATAAATGCCACAGGTCGCTCAGCAGCAAGAGACCACCAGAACTGGGTCCGAAGACCTCCGCAGCGGTGCCAATACCGAACGCCCTTTAGGACCAAGCGGTCTGCAGAAAGTAGGGAGCGCTCCCCAGAGAACACGCACGCCACGCGCGGCGCGGCGCTCGCTCGCCCACAGCCGCTTAGCAAAAGCCTCCCCAGGTCCTGCTCCCCACCCATGAGCGGGTTCTTGCAGGCCCCGCCTTTAGTTCGCCCCACCTTTGTTCGGCCCCGCCCCGCGCCCCTGTGAGGCTCCGCGGCGTCCGTGCGCCTGCGCAAACCTCGCCTGGCGCCGCCTCTGAGCCTGCAGTGTCAGGCTCCCGGCCCGACGCGCCCCGCCCCCCTTCTCTCCCGCGCCCGGCGGCTGCGGCGTTGGCGGCATGGAGGGCGAGAGTACGTCGGCGGTGCTTTCGGGCTTTGTGCTTGGCGCGCTCAGCTTCCAGCATCTCAACACGGACTCGGACACGGTGAGGCCAGGGGCGGGGCCTGGCGTCAACTCCGGGGAGCCCGGCGTGCGGCCTTCTCCCCGCCGCGGTTGCTGGGTCCTCGTCCGCGACCTGCCGCCCGCGCGGCTCTGCCTTCCCTTCTCAGCCAGCCTGGGCGCCTCCTGTCCTGAGGCGTTTCCGAGACCAGCCCCTCTCCTCCCCTGGCCCGCTTCCCTCCGCGGCCTCCTCAGCGCCGGGCGGGAGGGAAAGTTGGCGGCGGCCGCGGGTCGCCGGTTAACTTTCGGTTTCTCCGCAGTCTGGACAGTCGTTTGCAGAGACGATTGTGTTTGTTGAAATGTAGGATGGTACGGAAATGAGAACAGATGTCGCGCCCACCGAGTATTTTTTGGCAAATCCTAGTGGATTAAAATTAATTTGGTATTTGAGGTATCTGACTTTTGGTGGCATTGCTGTTAGAGTCGTTAAAGTTGTAAGGCTTCAGCTAGTTCCTTTACAGATAAGTTATCATGTAAACATTACAGTTAGCCTCAAGCGTTAGATATTTACATGCGTATTCTGTATTTTCACCTGGATTCAAAACCTCCTGATGGGCCTGGGCCGGGCGCGGTGGCTCACGCCTGTCATCCCGGCGCCCTGGGAGGTGGATCGCCTGAGCTCACGAGTTCAGGACCAGCTCTGAGCCAGAGCGAGATCTCATCTCTAAAACTAGCCGGGCGCTGCAGTCCCAGCCACTCCAGAGGCTGAGACCAGAGAATCGCTTGAGCCCACTGATACCGGATTTTTAACACTGGATCTCCAGGCTCTTGGTCTCAACCATTCGATGAATGAAATCGATAGACCATAGAACGAACAGTGAGGTTTTATTTACAGCTCAAAGAACCAAACCTCCCTGCAGGGCAGGATAGGAGTGTTACAGCTCTTATGAAAAGGAGCCTACAAAGGGCCAAGCCTCTTTGTAGAGCAAGATCAGCAGCGGAGGTGTTACAGCTACAGCTCAAGTGTTACAACTCCTACAAAGAGCCAAGCCTCTTTGTAGAGCAGGATCAGCAGCGGAGGTGTTACAGCTACAGCTCTTACAAAGGACCAAGCCTCTTTGCAGGGCAGAGATCAGCAAAGGG